CCTCTTTCACTGTTTCAGATCGTCCAGCGACCAGGACAGATTGTATACCTCTTCCCACATGCAATACACTGGGGATTTAACGTCTCGTACAACCTCAATCAAGCGGTAAACGTTGCATCCCAGTCATGGGCCTTGTGTGGAGTCGCCGCTCAGAAACCCTGCAATTGGCCGACGTACGTAGAACCTGACACAAACCTGTTCGTATATGACTTATACTATGAATTCTCAATGTCTTAAGAGTATTGTATCCTTACAGGTTGGAAAAAACGGGCAAGCTGAACCCGGAGGCCCTGTTCAAGATTTGTGGAGTAACCCCACAGATGAGGGCAGATTGAAAAAAAAAAACAACCGCCATGAAGCTTTAGAACAGTTGAGGCAATCACGACCCCTGCTGTACCGAGCTTTAAACAGACAACAAGTTGAACCCATTCCAGCCTCCAACCTACTCGGAAACGACGGAACGGACGAACAAGTGAGTAACTAAGAAATCTATTACCTTCACTTTTGAATCATGTCGTAGAATTCAAAAGACTAAGACCTAAAACTTTCTCTCATCTTCCAGGAAGATCTCGACCTTGGAGACGAAAACCCGGACAATCCACCGACCGACTTCGAACACCACGGACCAGAACCACTGAATTTCCAGACCACCACTCAGACTCACGGACAAAACGTTTTATGTCCCCTCTGCACGGCCAGCATGGGGCATAAACATAACGACACTGGAAGAGACAGGCTCCGTAGGCACGCACTCGCCAGACACCTCCATTGCGCAGATGCCGTTGTACAGGAATACGACAGACAGGCCGCAGTGATGCCCGTGCAGTCACATTATAAAGTCACAGGTGACTCAATGAAAAATAACAACCTAAGGCTCCGAAAGATAAACGGTTTGCCTGCGTGCCATAGTTTCTGAGATAAGACGGATCGAAAAGCACCCCGTGCGGAAAGAAGCAACTTTAGGATGTGCCGAGCCGCGCCCAATACTGTAATGACTTTTCCCATTAAAAAACTTAACGACAGGTTTGTCGTTATTTTACGAATCTTTTTTTGCAGTGCACTCGAATTTGATCCCCTATGAATAATATAGAATTAAGAGATATCTGATACATGAAAAATCCTACCCTTGTCATTCTATCTAGCACTCTTTAAAGGATAAGAAGGTAAAATAAAAGTTCAAAACTTTTGTGAACTTGTGCGGCGTAAACGGGCGTTTAACATTTTTTTTATGTGTTTCCTGAAAACTTGTGATTTTGCAGTAATCCCCTTCTTCCGCTTCCTGGGCCAAGTTTCAAGCCGAAACCTCAACCCTATGGGTCAAAACTGTCCGTTATTCAAAAAGGGGTCGGGCGTCCGCGGACTTAATCTGGTTGGGGGTGTCCATCCGATTTGAACAAAATCGAGCACATGAGCCTTTGTACGGGGGACGTTCCCAGAACATTTACCGACGCGTTTCATGATCCAAAAAAAAACAACAAACGCAACACTTTGAGGTAGGGTAGCTCTATATATTATCATAACTCTGAGGCACGGCGGTCCTTTGCTTACCTGAAACTGCTTGCCCAGTTCTTTGTAAAGATTCGCACATGCTATGTGGATACCGAGAATGAACGCTAACAGTGCGTAATACGCCGATACGCAGCACATAGTACAGAAGGCCATGAACGCAAGCTGGAAAAGGAACTACAATGTTAAAAAAGTTTTACTTTTACAAAATGAGTTTCAAAGTAATTGTTTGTTGTCTCTAAACATAAAAACTGGTCGTCAGCGAACTGATACGTCTTTGAGTTTTATTAATTTCAGATTTATAATCGCTTTGAAATAAAATTTTAGTCACTACCTATAGTCAAAACACAACAATTGAAAATGACCGTAAAGTTGCAAATTGTACGGGTGAACGGTGACGTTACCGTGTTAAAGTTACACTGTAAAAAAAGTTTTACTGAATTTTCAGTACTTTTCACTTTTAGTCTAAAGTTTTTTTACAGACCAGTAGTATAAAAATTCAGACTGCACCTGGGTCTGAACTTTCAGTACTGCCTTACAATACCACTTAGTCTGAAAATTCAGACAGCCGGTGCCGGTATGAAAATATTTTTTAAAATGTTAAAAATGAACACATAGCGAGCCACTTAACAACTGTCGGGGTAGAGAGCTATGCCCAGGTGAGAACTTATCTGTCTATTTAGTACTGCCCTTGGTTGGGATCGAACCGCCAAACCTTCAGGTTCGGAAGCCGCAACCTTAACCATTCGGCTGCCGGCTACCTGCGTGGTGGGCAGCGTCGGCTACTTGTGTGCTTTGTCCGCCTGTCCGGTGGACTTTCACTCAAAATTCATACCGGTAACTCTGAATTGTAGATTCAGTGTATAGTCTGAAAATATACTTTAAAATATTCAGACGAATTGCTCTGAAAACCTGATTCAGAGTAAAGAGTCTGGATTTTCAGTCTAAACTCAAAAATTTTTGAGTAATAGTCTGAAAACAAGATTCAGACTGCCGATTCTGAAAAACATCTACTGATTTTTCAGATTTTTTTTTACAGTGTAAGGGGTGTTGACTTTTAAGAAGTGTGTGATTCTATTGGGCCCACCATAAATATCAGAGCGAAACGGGTTAGCAGACATCACGGTTAGTTTAAGGTATATTTTATGTGTATTTGTCATAACGACACCTCAGAGCGAAAACCGCTGAGTCTGCCGGAGCGCTACGACAACCGCTCAGTCTGCCGGAGCGCTACGACAACCGCTTAGTCTGCCGAGCGGTTTGGACAACCGCTCATTCCGCGGAGCCGCTCCGACAACCGCTCAGTCAGTCGACCCGCCTCAACAACCGCTCAAATGACTTTTTTGACGAAAAAATTTGGATTGCGCCATCGAAAAGAGCATGGTCCAATTAGTCGAAATCGGTCAAAACATGAAAAATGTCAAAAAAGTCATTTGAGCGGTTGTTCAGGTGGGTCCGCTGACTGAGCGGTTGTCGAAGAGCCTTCACGGAATGAGCGGTTGTCCAAACCGCTCGGCAGACTAAGCGGTTGTCGTAGCGCTCCGGCAGACTGAGCGGTTTTCGCTCTGAGGTATCGATAATAGAAAAGTTCACTCAACATTGTGTAACAGGTGGAAGATATCCATTTGAACATTTGATTGCAAAACCCTGAAAAAGTTTGCGCGCAGGATTGCATCATTATCAGATTAGGTAGAGACCCGTACAATATCTTAACTGAAAGACCAGGGTGAAGACCTTCAAAACAACACAGGATTTTAAAATTCTAAACAAAACGCTAGGAGTTTACTTTAACACTGTTAAAAACTTCTTGGGATTTCCCGAAGATTCACTTTCCACCACTATTAAAAATTCCCAGAGCACTCCGTTCTTAGTTTTTGTGTACGAAAACAGATGTTGAAGATGGAAGTTTTCATTCGTCCGTTTTGCTCTATCTTGTACCGTTTAGGTGCTAGGGGGCATTTCTTGACGATAATGAGGTAAAAACGACCAAATCGACGCGTCCTAACAACAATGTTCTATCTGCAGAGTGCGGATTACACAATGTTCTATCTGCAGAGTGCGG